CTAGGCATGTCAGGACTACAGAATAAGACTCTGCCTCCAAACAGTGATCAAGTACTGTCTTTGTTAGCGTATCATTTCCTAAAGGACTTGTCAAAATTCTGGGTTGGCCCAATATGCTGCAGTAGTTGGTGAGATTGCACAGTATTAATCCAAACCAAGCACTTGAGGCTTCTGATGTATCCCACTCGGGGCAGAGGCAGTGCTGCTTCCCTCCTTCCTTGATGCGGATTGCTGACTTCAACTAGCTAGCGAACTGCAGAGGAGTCAGGTCTAGTACAGATTTTCCCAGCCTGAAATCATGTTGACTGTAGTTGTTCAAATTCTTCCAGTTTAAAAATAGTGTCCCACACGTGCTCAACCAAAAAGAAAGTGCTGAAGAATGTTTCATCATGCCCAATCTGTGGACAGGAAGATGTCTGAACAGAGAAAAGATGGGAGATCAAGGCCACACAAATCCCTCCACTGGGTTAGTTGTGCAGAGACTTCATAAGAAAGCAGGATTTATTTTATTAGACCTAAGTTTGCAATTTGACACATGTGAACAAGCAAAAAGATATCTACAGCAACTTCGACCCAGAAAAAGAAAAGAGAAAATGTCCACACAACAAATGAGTCAGGTGTACCATACCCAGACCCCCAGACCCTGGGAGCCTCTGACTTACTGCAGAAATGAGGGCAGGCTCCCTATTGAACCCTCAGTCTGGGGTTTTAATTGAAAGCAGATGCCTTTCCCCCACCCATCCCTGAGTATGACTCATCTACTGTCCTCCAGGCCAAGTGTTTTTATAAAATACTCTGCATCACCATAGCAACAGCCCAGCACCTCCTCCCTCAGACTGTTGACTAAGTATTAAGGCAGGGGAAATCTGTTTGTTTGACTAGTTATAAATTAGAAACATTACTCACAGGGAAAAACCCTTTGGCTCCAAAGAAGAGCTGTCACATAGCAGTACAAGAATCAGAGATGCTGGGGAGATCCAAAATAACAGTTGTTTCTCATTAAGCCACTATTTAGCACATACTCCTGCAGTGACTTCAGTCACAGGCAGTGCTGAGGATGATGGGAAACATAGCTGTAAATTGCTGCGGTCTTAATACCAGGCATCCTTGATCCTCACACCATCAATTGTTATTCTTCCTTTACAGATGAAGAACCAAACAGAGACTTCCAGAGCTTCAGGTTACACATCTGGTGAGAGAGACAGGACTTGAACTCAGGCACTCTCTTTACTGTTGTATCTGATCACTTCCACTATAGGATCAGAAGAATCTCACAAGCTTTGCTGGGTTTTGCTTGATTTTTCTGACGACAGCTCACTTTTAAATTTTTTTTTTTTTAAATTTGGGACTGGAGAGATAGCTCAGTGGCTAAGTACTAGCTACTCTTGTAGAAGACCCAGGTTCAAACCCCAGCACCCACATGGTGGCTAACAACTGTCCAGAACTCCAGTTCCAGGGAATCCAATGCCCTCTTCTGTCCTCTGCTGGCACTGAACAACACGGGTGTACTTACATACATGCAGGCAGAACGTTCATACACATAAAATAAAAATAAAGTTCATTTTTAAATTTATTTATTTTACATGTATATTTCCCTGAATGTGTGCCACATGCTTGCAATGCCCACAGAGGCCAGAAGAGGGCATCAGATGCCTTGGATCTAGAGTTAAGGATGTTGTTTGCCACTATATGGGTTCTGGGAACCAAACCTGGGTCCTCTGCCAGAGCAGCCAGTGCTCTTAACCACTGAACCATTTCTCCAGTGCCAAGAAACTTTTGTTGTTGTTGTTGTTGTTGTTGTTGTGTGTTGTGTTTTTTTGAGATAGGGTATCACTTTGTAGCCCTGACTGGTCTGGAACTCACTTTGTAGACCAGGCTGGCCTCTAACTCACAAAGATCCACCTGCCTCTGCTGGGATTAAAGGCCTGTGCCACCATGCCCAGCAATAGCTCACTTTTATCAAGGTTTCAGAGACTAAAAGGGGGTGGATTCCTAACTGGACAATTTTGCATTGAGCAATAACAGAAGTGTGTAGTGGAGACCTGGCTGCCAAGACAGAAAAGCCCTACTCTGAGGTGTGGCGAGAGCTTTCTGGCTTTCATCAAATCCTTCATAGCTGGCAGCTTCCTGGCTTTCCCAGCCACAGGCTTCCATCAGGCCAGGCATCTCAGCCAGCTCACCTCTCATCTCAAGAGGGTTCTGCAGTGAGCAGATCATGATGGGAAATAGGAAGTACAGAAACTATACTGCAGGCCAAGGGCCATTGAAGCACCAAGGACAGTCTCACCCCACCCCACCCCAAGAAATGAGCTCCATTGCCTAGACACTGACTGCACAGGCTGCTTGAATTGCTTGAGTGTGGAAGGGCCATCAGGTCTGAATCCAGAGCCCGTAACTAAGGCTCAAGATGAAAAAGGGGCAGTTTCTGCATTTATCTAGCGGACAATCAAGAAGACTGGTTTGAGTGAATTTAGATTCAAAAGCAAACTGAGCTGGGTGTGGTGGCACATGCCTTTAATCCCAGCACTCAGGAGGCAGAGGCAGGCAGATCTCTGAGATGGAGGTCAGCCTAGTCCATTTAGCAAGTTCCACTCTAGCCTGTCTTCCCAGCCCTGGGTGATCACTTCTCTGCTCTCTGTCTCTATAGTCCCCTGCTCTCAATTTTCCTCCATGTCTAACTTAATTGCATATCCTTTGACACATTATCTCCCCATTTTCCCCTGTCCCTTAAATAGCCTAGCCTCCCACCACCCTCCACTGTCCTTCAGTAAGTTCGAATTCTTCAGATTCCGCACACAAATGAGATCATATGGTGTTTCTATGTTTGGCTTACTTAACATAGCGTCCTCCAGGTTCATCTATTTTGTCACAAATAACAGTGTTTTGTTCTTTTTAATGACTAAATAGTTTTCCATTGTGAGTGTATACAGCACTTTTGTTTTATCCGTGTATCTGTTCTCTTGGGTCTAATTTGGGTTACAAAAGATGGCATGAAGTTCCTCTGAGCTTACAGCAAGTTGTGAGTGTATACAGCACTTTTGTTTTATCCGTGTATCTGTTCGTCTAATTTGGGTTACAAAAGATGGCATGAAGTTCCTCTGAGCTTACAGCAACGTGCTACAAACATGGCAACTATGCTGTTTCACGTGATGCAAAGCCTGTGTGCTGGAACAAACAAGTGTAATCAACCTCATCACTCTGTTGTGCCTGCGTCAGGAAAGTCAGCAAGATGAGTGCGCCAAAAATGTGCTTCATCAAAGCGCAGGCCCTGCAGCTGGCTGCCTGCGTACCCCACCCCCGCGCCGCTTCTGCCATGTATGAGCTGTGTGACTGGACAAATTACTATACCCCAGTCTCCTTGCCTGTAAAAGGGGCATACTGATAGTCTCTACTTTTCAAAGTATTGTGGGGACCAAAGTAATTCATGCCAAGTGCCGTGACAGTTCTGGCCTTCCCTGCCATGCACTTCAGTTTTGGATTGAGGACTTCACATTCAGCTCTGCTTACGGAATCTCTGCCTGAGATCCCCTCAGTTGTCCTCCAAATAGAGCGTGTGGGTGCCTCTGGCCGCAGTGCCCTGAACGTGCTCAATCTCATCTGAATATGGTATGTGGGGAAGGCCAAACTGCTTGCTAACTGGAACACTGTAAAAGCATCATGTTGATCTAATTCGTCTCTATTTTGCTCATGTCAAAGTTTTGTAAAGTATTTATGTTGGAGCCCTAGCAAGGCAAGGTCAAACACAGTCACTTTTTTCCCTTAGATTTGATTTTCAGAGCAGGGAATCGAACCCAGGGTGATGTATGTAGATGGCCACTCTACCGCTGAGCTACACACCGCAATCACTTTTTTCCAATTTTTATATTTTATTATGATTGTGTGTGTGTATGCATGATATGTGTTTGTAAGTGTGCACACCACAGTATGCATGTGAAAGTCAGAGGCCAACTCTGGAGTAAGTTCTGTCCTTCTACCATTGTGTGGGTTTCAGGTTGTCAGGCTTGTGTGACAAGTGCCTTTACCTGCTGAGCCATTTCACTGGTCCCACAATCACTTTTGTAAGGTAATTCTGATCATGGTCCCAACTGAGCACCTGGATCAAGTTCAAGAGGGAGAATCAGACTTCAGAAAAAGTGACAAAGTCATTTTAATTCATGTAAATCTGCTAAAACAGAGACGCCCAGTTCTGCAGCATGAGACCCGCTCTGTTGTTTTACTTCACGCCGCCCTTCAGAGAGAGGGTCCAGGCTGCTACAAAGGAAGGGTGAGGGGTCGCAGTCTGGGTGGGAAGCAGAGCAGGCAGCTTCCTTTATTATTCTGCTTGGTCTGTTCATTTGGAGAAGCCTGGGGAATGAGAGCCTGGGGTCCCTCAACTGCTGCTGCTCGCGTACGCTCACGTCTCCCGTCCCCCACTCAGGGCAGTAGTGTTTGGTCAGATCAAGGATTTACATGAATCACTTCTTCAGTTATTTTGAGAATTTCATATATTTCCATTCCTCCCTTTCTCCAATAAGGCTTGGTAAAGCAGACTGGAGCTTTTTTAAACTACACTTTTTAAAGGTGAGCCATAGAAATAACCAGAGACATTTTCCTGAACAAGAACTTCTTCGGGGAAGGTTAGAGAGATTTCTCAATGGTTAAGAGCACTGGCTGCTCTTGCAGAAAACCTGGGTTCCATTCCCAGCATCCACATGGCATCCATAACTCCAGTTCTGGGGATATGACACCCTCTCTGGCTTTCATGGGCATTGCATGCACATACTACACACATATTATGCAGGCAAAACACTCATACATGTAAAAATAAGGTTTTTTAAAATTCAAAATATAAGAAAGAACTTCCTTTTAAGTTTCCAGCTGAGTGACCCAATACAAATACAGTCTTGTCCACTACCTTAGGAGGTTTCTGATGACTGTATCCAAAGCTGCTAAGGCTAGTCAGACTGCTGACACCCCAGTTCAGTCACAGAGTTCTGAACAGTGTGCTTGCTACTTTGCAGATACTGGGGCCTTGTTTTCCCAGATCCTTCTGATGAGAAGAGCGCGACACAAGTCAGCAATTGCTGTTGCCACGTGCGGGTCTTAGGGAAGGTTTCTACATGCCAGGCAGCAGCTAACCATGTGCCTTTGAATTGGTACATCCCAAGCACTTACAGTGAGTACCCTTGGGGATAACCCCTAATTTCCAGTATATTGATGCCAGGTACAAAGGAGAACAGGAAAATTTCAAATCTTCCCATAGTTTTAAGAGAAGTCTGAAATTCCGGCTGTTGTATGAACTTTCCCAATTTCTAAGGTTGACAAATGACTACAATCTTTTTTAAGGGCTCTGTGGAGAGCCAAGCCAGTAGAGGCTTCTGATTTACACTCTGGCTGCTGATCATACCCCTGAACATTGGCTTCTGACCTTTCCTTATAGGCTGGGTGACTCTGGAGCACTCATGGCACTTCAGTGCTGGCTCCATGTCACTACCTGCCCCACGTGTGCATGATCCAGGTTGCAGAGCACTCATCCTCTGACTGCATCCTTCACAGCAAGATCAGGAGTTATAACATAGATTGATCTATATGAACGCCTGAGAAAACAGCCTTGAGGAGTTTAAGTTCTTCAGTGATGTTCACACAGAAAGTGCCCAGCAGGAATTTGTCTCTGGGAGTCCCTGTACTCTGGGGGAGAGTTCACTGACACCTCTAGCACTGATATCCTCCATGGAACCCACTGCCCCAGTTTCCATGGCCCTTCTGAACCTCATGTTGAACTAAATATTTATGTGTTGATAGCATTTAGAGACAAGCCTTTGGGAGGTCATTGGGACTGGATAAGGCTGCCAAGATGGGGCCCCTAAGATGGGACTGTGGCTTTTAAGAAGAGGAGAGAGACTAAGATGTTGCTCAGACATCTTCAACTCAATATATGAAATTGATTTGATTCTTTTCCTCCAGTGAAGGCTGGTAGGCTTAGAGTTGTGCCAATAATTTGTCAAAACAATTAAAAAAAAAAACACTGTGAAATAGTTCTATACCATGGATTTCTATTTTCTGACTTTCAGATTTTGGCAACAGGATGCTGTGAGTGTGTGCCAAGCCCAAGGGATGAGTGAGAGGAAGACAAACCCTGAAAGACTGCAGGGCTCCTGTGTCTGTCATGATAGTGAGAAGGGGATGCTGGGAAGGGGTGAGATCATCTCTACACTCATTTGCCAAAGCCAATTTCAGTTTTTAAAATTTACTCAGGACTGTATATAGTTGCCAAGCAACTGTAGCCAAGTTACTGCATCAGTGGTGAAAATACAGTACACACCAGCGGGGGAGTAAGGGGAGGCTTTTCAGTGCGTGGACCTGACTCATTTTCACCAGCGTTTCGTACAGCAGCTATGTTGTCATCATTTTTCCAGTGAGCCAGAAGGGAAAATATAAAGTGAGTGGAGAGAGAGAGAGAGAGAGAGAGAGAGAGAGAGAGAGAGAGAGGAGAATGAATTAGGCCAGGCAACTGAACATGGAGTCAGTAGGTCATGATCAGTTTCCCCAGTCACAGCTAATCAAATTGTCTTTGGACACGCAGATAAATTGCAATACAATCAATCACATGGAGTCAGTAGGTCATGATCAGTTTCCCCAGTCACAGCTAATCAAATTGTCTTTGGACACGCAGATAAATTGCAATACAATCAATCACATGGAGTCAGTAGGTCATGATCAGTTTCCCCAGTCACAGCTAATCAAATTGTCTTTGGACACGCAGATAAATTGCAATACAATCACATGGAGTCAGTAGGTCATGATCAGTTTCCCCAGTCACAGCTAATCAAATTGTCTTTGGACACGCAGATAAATTGCAATACAATCACTACGTACTTGAAAGGAACTGACTCAGGACTGACCAGCTACTACCATAAGAAGTGGGCTGCTGTGGTTACTCACAGAGTCCAGCACCAAATGGCTTGGTTTTAAATTCCTTTTTATTTATTGCGTTTCCTTGAATAAATTATTTAACCTTGATAAGCTTTAATTCTCACCCCTACTCCCATTGTAAGGGTCCAATGAGTTTTAAGAGATTAGATATTTAGAAGTGTTAAACAGTATTCAGTATTGAACAAATGTCAAGCTTATTATAATCATCTCTCCTAGGGAAATTCCAGATCTCATCAATGAGTGATTGTCAATAGAGATGAAGCCAGAAAGAGTCTGCAAAAGTTACAAATATATTTTTCCTTTTTTCAAGTTGTCATAATGATTGGCAGGCATTGCCAACATTTCATGGGTAAAGTTTAGGGTGACACACTGCCATCATGAGTCAGTGCAATGGTAAACTGATCCAGATCCTTCATATATCCCCCAGTCTTCATGGAAATAAAAAAACTTTATGATTACTGAAATCTGGATCTGGATTCCATTTTTCAGATAAACACAAACTATTTTTTCAAATATAACTCATTTTTTACTTATTGACGTTTTGTGTGTGTATTTCATACAGAACATCCCAAACAATCTTATTCATCTTTATACCCTCATCCCAAATGGCACCCTCCCATAACCCCCCTCCCCCCACTGGAGCCCATATACTCTGTCATCCCTGTTACTGTCCACTGTATTATCAGTGCCCCCAGCCATTCCCCAGTGCTAGTTTATCCACTGAGTCTAGTCAGCCTGTCTAGAGTTCCTTGTTTTAGGAAGATCAGCTCTTCCTCGTTTAGTTGCCAGCATTCCTTTAGATAAGATTGGGGTCTGCTGTTCATTTTCCCAGTTCTATGCTGAGTTACTGTCTGGGAGTCTCTTGGGCTACCCTAGTCAAGAACTCAAAGGAAGGTATCTCCTGTCTGGCATTGAAAAACACAAACTTTTTTTTCCTTTTTGGTCTTTTTGAGACAGGGTCTCCCTGTAGCCCCAGCTGTCCTGGAACTCACTATGTAGACCAGACTGGCCTTGAATTCACAGAGATCCACCTGCCTATGTCTCCCAAGTGCTGGGATTAAATGTATCTTTTAAAAAATATTTATTTGTGGCTGGAGAGATGGCTCAGTGGTTAAGAACACTGGTTATTCTTACAGAAGACAGCATGCAGGTCAGGCAACTCACAACTGCTTGTAACTCCAGCTCCAAGGGATCTGAAGCCCTCTTCTGGCCTCTACTGGCACCAACACACAGGACACACACATATTGACATACACATACATATAAAATAAATCTTAAATGCATAGCACTGAAAAAAATTTTAAATATATATATTTATTTTACTATTTTTAATAATGTGCATGTGTCTGTGTGTGGGTATGTATACATGAGTGCAGGTGCCTTGGAAGTCACAGATGTTGGATCCCCTGCAGCTGGAGTCACAGGCAGTTGTATGCTGCCAGATGTGGGCTCTAGGAACCAAATTCAGGTCCTCTGCAAGACAGTAAGCACTCTTAACCATTAAGTCTCAGAAATACAATGCAAAGGAGGAAGGTTGATTTGGAGTTACAGACGGTTGTTAGCCGCCATGTGGTTGTTAGGAATCAAACCTGGATCCTCTGCAGGAGCAGTCAGTGCTCTTAACAGCTAAGCTGTCTCTCCTGTTCCATAAGGATTTTTTTATATATACAGGGCATCATGTAGCTCACTCTGGCCTCAAACTTGCTATGTAGCCAAGGAAGGCCTTGAACTCCTGGTCATCCTGTCTCTAGCTTTGGAGAGCTGAGGGCTTGAGATGAAGAAATTATCTTGCGTTATCTTGATGGGACCAATGGCATCACAAAAGTCTGTTTCGTTTTTACATCTATTTAATTGTGTGTGTGTGTGTGTGTGTGTGTGTGTGTGTGTGTGTGTGTGTGTGTGTGGTGTGGTTATGGAGATCAGAGGACAGATTGCAGGAGTCAACTCTCTCCTTCCACCATGTGGGACTCAGGGATCGAACTCAGGTGGTCAGGTTTGTCAGCAGGTGCCTTTACCTACTGAGCCATCTCACTGGCCTACAATGATCCTTGCAAATGTAGAAGAAAAATGCTGAAGAATCAGAAACCCACACCCCAGAAGACAGTTGTAGTCTGGGAGCTCAAACCAGGGAGTGTGGGCGCCCTCTATAGGATGAAAAAGGCAAGGACATCTTCTCCCCAACAGCCTCCAGAACACTGCTGAGAATTCCATGAGAGAGACCTTACAATACTTTTCTGTTCCTTTAAGCCACCAGCCTTTTTGTTGCAGCAGCATTAAGAAACTAATATGTATGCTTTTAGCTGTTTCAAGTTAATGTGTAGTTTGGTGAGAAAAATTATTCAAAATCGCCAACAATTCTGTGACATTCCCTTTATGTATAGATAGTGATACTATAGTATAATTTCAAAGAAATAGGAGGATTTTAAAAAAGAAAAATGAGCTGGGCGTGGTGGCACACGCCTTTAATCCCAGCACTGGGAAGGCAGAGGCAGGTGGATCTCTGTGAGTTCAAGGCCAGCCTGGTCTCCATAGCGAACCCAGGCCAGCTAGGGCTACAGGGAGACCCTGTCTCAAAAAGACCCCCCCAAAAAAGAAAAATGGAAGGTAGAGTTCCTACAGTTGATTATAAGGATTAAAATCACAAATAGTTCCACCCAAAGACAAAACCAGTAATAAAAGACTGCAAGAATCTGCTGTTATCTCCAGTGGGCATCTATACAGCTGTCACGGCTGTCAGGAGACCGCTAACCATGTTTAAAGCCGATCTCTTCTCACCAGATCAGTCTAGAATCCCAGACTTACAATCTCTCAAAAAAAAATGACTCGTGTTTAAGAGATATCGAAAAAGCAAACAGATACGTATGCTGCTGGTGTTGCTTCTGAATGTCTATCAAAATGTTATGCAGGGCTCCCTGGAGTAGATGAAAGTCAGTCATTACACAACTGCAAACCTGTCCTGTGGCTCTTGGCTTCCCCTTATGGGCTTCCTCCATTCCCCCTGGAATTTATTTCACTGAATTTGATGTCGTGAGCTTATTTTGAGAGACGTTAGGAGGTAAAGTCACATGAAACTTTTTGCTGTCTTTATGGAAAGGCGGTCACTGAGAATGTTACTCATCATGTTACACAGAATCCCCTCTGGAGAACTCCTGTATAAAGCTGTGTGTTTTTTTAATTTTTAATTTTTTTTAATTATTTTTATTTTATGTGTATGAGTGTTATGCCTATATGTGTGTAAATGTACCCATGTTGTGCAATGTCCACAGAGGACAGAAGAGGATGTTGGAAGTGGAGATACAGCTGATTGTTAGTTGTCATGTGGGTGCTGGGTTTTGAACCAAGGTCTTCTGCAAGAATAGTCAGTGCTCTGGACTGCTGAGCCATCTCTCCAGCCCCCTATAAATCCAGGTCTTAAGGTGTCAGTTCTATAAACAGGTAAGTGTGAACTGCTTCCAAACAGAATTGCCTTAAAAAAAAAGAAAAGAAAAAGACTGGGGACTGAACACAGGACCTTGTGCTAGGCAAAGTGCTTTACTGCTGTGCTCTAACATCCTTAGCCAGAGAGTTCTTCTTTTAAACTCTTTTAGAACTATGATTATACATCTTGTCATTATATATCTGTCAAAAACGTAAACTCTAATATAAGTTATGAACTTTAATTAATGTATCACTGCCAATTCATCAGTTATAACAAACATAATAGCAATGATAGCAGCACTAATGCAAGATTCTAGTAAGAGAAACTGTTCTAGGGGAGGAAGGACCTATAGTAATTATACTTTCTGCTCAATTTCTATATGAAATGAATATTGCTCAAAAAAGGTCTATTAACTGAGAAAAAGACTTATACACACAACACAGTACCCACATCTGTAGGTAGTGGATTCTGGGAGGATGGCAGCAATGATAGTAATAACATGGATATTTAATCTCTGAATCCTCACAAGAAAAGACACAAGGAACTTGCTGTAGTTCAGAAATATTGGTGTCCCTCCCCCCGCCCCCCCCCCCAGTTCACATGTTGAAATCTAACTCCCAAGGTGATGTTGTGAAACATAAGGCCTTTGGAATATGATTAGGTCATGGCTCTGGCCCCAAGAGTAGGAATGTACTCTCACAAAGAAGAAAAAAGAAAAAAAACCCTCAACAGTTAAAGAGTACTGACTGCTTTTGCAGAGGATCCAGGTTCGGTTTCCAGTGCTCACATGGTAGCTAACAATCATCCATAACTCCAGTTCCAGGGAATCCAACACTCTCTTCTGGCATCCTTAGACATTACATATATGGGGTACATTTACATACATGCAGGCAAAACACACACAAAGTAAAAATAAATTTTTAAAAGAGACTCAACCCAGTAATTTCAGCACTTGGGAAGGGAAAGAAGGAGGGTCTGGAGTTCTGGAGTTCAAGGACAGCCTCTGCTACTTAGTTAGTTTGAGGTCAGCCTTGGCTACATGAGATCCTGTCACCAAAACCAATAAAAAATAAAAATAAATGGGAATGCCTTCTGCCCCTGCCTTTTCTACCATGTGGCATATAGGTGTTATTTATGAGCACTGAATCTGCTGGGGTTTTGATCTTGAATTCCCCAGCCTTCTGCTGTTTATAAATTATCCAGTTTGCAGGTGTATTTATTATAGCAAATGAACCTTTTTATAATCCAAATAAGCTAAGAGACAACTAGATAGCAAAACCAAAGCCCTACAGACATTTGCAATAAGCTAGATGATAAAATATCTTCATAGACTCCCAAACTGAAGCAAATGTCAGCAATGGCCATAAAGCTTGCATGGATCCATGTCAGTATGTGAAAGAGGAAAAATAAGTAGAGGCAGTGGCTGAATTTGTTCACCCCAGAAAGCAACAGGTGTGGAACAGGCTCCTCCAGTGAACTGCCCCCCATGAACCTGCCAGGTCCCCCTTCAGCACGACCTCATGCTGGAATGCAACTATAGGGAGGAATCAAATGGAGTGGGACCGGGAAGAGAGAGAGGAGGCAACGAAGGATCTAGTCAGCCCTAGGAAAAGCAGCCCAGAGTTCAAAAGCAGCAAGCTTTCATACGCAAATGTTTTCTCTGTTCTTTTAAAGATGGATGCCCTGACTGATTAATTTGCATTTCCCCAATGACATTACACCAAAGCAACAGCAGAGGGAGCTCTGCACACTTCAAAAAGCTAGTCTACCTGTATCTGGAGTTACAGACAATTGTTAGCTGCCATGTGTTTAAAAAAAAAAAAAAAAGCTAGTCTAAAAGTTGAGGAAAACTGCTGTCACGTAAAAATCAGTAACAGCCAAGCGTGGTGGCGCACGCCTTTAATCCCTGCACTTGGGAGGCAGAGGCAGGCGGATCTCTGTGAGATCAAGGCCAGTCTGGTCTCCATAGGGAGTTCCAGGACAGCTGTGGCTACAGGGAGACC